GATGGGGTAATTGTAGAAGAACCTAGCTGGATGGTGAAATCATGCTGTAGAGTTGGAGTGGCAGGGAAGACAAGAAGCTCAGTCTTTGCCAGGTTGAGCTGTAAGTGATATTCTTTCATCCATGCCGAGATGTCCGCCAGGCTGCCTGAGAAATGGGAAGCTACCTTTGGATCATCTGGTTAAAATGAGAGATAGAGCTGTGTGTCATCAGCATATCAATGGTAGGAGAAGCGATGTGCCTGTATGATGGGACCCAGTGATGTAGTGTATATGGAGAAGAGGAGGGGTCCAAGAACTGATCCCTGAGGAATGCCAGTGACAAGTTGATGAGCTTTGGAGACCACCCCCCCCCAGGCCACCCTGAAAAACCTACCAGTGAGATAGGATTCAAACCAGTGAAGTGGAATCCCTGTGATGCCCAGTGATGAGAGGGCAGACAGGAGGATCTGGTGATTGACAGTGTCAAAAGCAGCAGATAGATCCAGCAGAATAAGAACTGATGATTTGGAACTAGCTTTTGCCTTTTGCAAGGCTTCCGTAACTGACAGTAGTGCAGTCTCAGTTGAATGGCCACTCCTGAAACCTGACTGGTTAGGATCCAGTTTGTTGTTCTGTGAAAGAAACAATGATACCTGGTTGAAAACAACTCATTCGAGAGTTTTCGCTATGAACGGAAGGAGAGAGACAGGTCTGTAGCTATCTGTAAGTGAAGTGTTTAAAGTAGGTTTTTTGAGCAGTGGGGTTACCCGAGCCTCCTTGAATAAAGTGGGGAAAGTGCCTGTGAGGAGAGATGTTTTGATGATATGTGTGAATGGTGGTAAAAGTGTAGGAGAGATTGCTTGGATAAGGTGTGAGGGGATTGGGTCCAGAGGGCATGTTGTAGGATGGCTGGAGAGGAGAAATTTTGATACTTCTGCCTCAGTGAGGGGACAGAAGGAGAAGATGGGAGTTTTAGTAGTGGGTGTGGTTGGTTTGAAGTCCTGTGTGTGGGGGGCTGAGAATTGACTACTGATTGTTCTAGTTTTGTCTGTGAAGAATGTGGCAAAATCCTCAGCTGTTATAGAAGTGGTGGGAGGTGGTGGAGGGGGACAGAGGAGAGAATGGAAAGTTTTGAAAAGATTACGTGTGTCTGGAGCGCTGTTGATCTTGTTGTGGAAGTATGAAGATTTGGCAGTATGGACTTCAGCAGAGAAAGATAAAAGCAAAGACTGATACATACTCAGGTCTGATGGATCATATTTATGCCCATGTGTGATGATAAATGAGCATGATGTGTTTTCATTAACGAATTAAACTACGTGAATGATTAATTCCTCAACAAAACACTAGTATTTATAATTAAGGTCTATTAATTAGCCGAAATAAAATTAAATATGTTAAATTTAAACTGCATTCCAGCAAAAATTCCAGTCAGCAAAATCAAAGCTTTATTGGCATGTCGAGCATTTACAGTAGGCTAATATTTACAAAAGTATTCAGAACGTTAAGTAAAGAGATCGAAATGAAGGGAAAAAATGAATATAAACAAATATAAAAATATAACCAATAATATAATAATAATATACAAATATTACGGGAAAAGGCCGATCAGTTAATGGACTTACAAGACTGTAGAATGGATAAAAATGTTTTCTTGTAGGTCTATTTTATATTATGCACTTTATGTAACATTTATTCATGATAAACTTCATTTGAATGCTGACTATCGCACGTAATACAGTCCGGTATCCAAGGCCTATAGTTAATATAATAATTTAATAATGTAATAATGTCTATAATAAATAATATAATAATTTCTTAATTCAAAATAAAATATTAATGAATTCATCTCTTATTATCCCGGGTTGATATCGTCATGCAGGTTTGTTTACGCATTAAACTTGTGGCCACGAGAAAACTAAGTGAAACGAACATGTCACCTTATGGGCACCGTAACTTTCAGTTAGAATTACAACTTGATTTTCTGTTATTAAGCAGCTCTCCGGTGTGGAG